AATTCTTATACAGAATAAAACGTAAAAACCCAAATTTATATCTCTAATACCAATTACGCTGGGGAACTAGAACTTAGCACTAATGCATATATTGCAAATGCAATGCATCAAAAACCACTGAATAGAGCTCCGTCAGATTGTGGGAGGTTATCTTACATATGGGTAAGGCTTCCTCAAGTGGGCCCCGAATTCACCAAGATTAATACTTTTCAATGATATTCAGGCAGCGCCGAGTTTTGTAGTCGAAAAGTACACTGTGTAAATTTTGTTGCAAAATTTCAAATAGTTTTTTTTTTAATTAACAATTGAAAATGTTTGCAGTGTTTTGGAAATTTTTATATTTCTTTGAAAGTAAGTGTCCGAATGTAAAATTTTTTTTGGGTGCAGATTTAAAAGAAATTAAACTATACAATGAAATTATTTGCGTTGCAAAAATATTTTTGAAGTGAAACTTCTTTAGCGGCGGTTGGTTGGTTGGGAGTAAATTGGCAAATTCAAAGGAAATTGCACACGGAAATGGTGCAACGGAAAAACAAAGATGCGTAAAGATAAAGGCAAAAATGAAGACCAAGGTAAATTTAAACACTTTACTTATATGTATAAGGGCAAAGGTGAACGGGAATATGTAGATGAAGAAAATGATAAACATAAAAGTAAAGACAAAGAGGAGGACGATGATACCGATAAAAGTAAAGATGAAGATAGGGGAAGAAATATTAAAATAAAGGTAATTAAAGAGGAAAGGATATAGACTAAATCTGGGAACTATTTTGGGATTTTAGAGATTTTCGGGATTCTCGTGGCTTATCGATAAAATAATCGATATTTTTTATTGGTTTTTCTATCGATATTTTTATCGATTTTTTATCGAAATTTGTATCGATATTGTTATCAATTTTGCTATCGATATTTTCGGAACTTATGAATATAATAATCGATATTTATAACTATTTTTGTATGGATATTTTTATCGGTGTTTTTATCGATATTTGTTATCAATATTTTTATTGATTTTGTTATCGATATTAATCGATTTTGTTGTCGATATTTATCGATTTTGAAATCGCTATTTATCGATTTTTTTTATCGATATTTGTCGATTTTGTTATGGATATTTATCGATTTTGTTACCGATATTTATTGATTTTGTTATCGATATTTATTGATTTTGTTATCGATATTTATCGATTTTGTTATCGATATTTTTATTGATTTTGTTATCGATATTTTTATTGATTTTGTTATCGATATTTTTATTGATTTCGTTATCGATATTTTTATCGATATTGTTATCGATATTTTTGTCATTTTGTTATCGATATTTATCGATTTTTTTTATTAGAATAATATAAGTGTAATTAGATATAAAAAAGATAAAATATAACCTTAAGCAAAAGTAGATGTATGTATGTATGTTATGAGACAAAATATATATGTACATTAGACTGCATCACTCCCCATACAAAAAAAAACGGTACTTTTTTCCATTGGAATTATAAAATCTATTACATTTTAAGACGTTCACCAAAATATTTCGGAAAAATATTAAGATTCAAGCCAGCTGGACCGATTTGAAAATACCTCCAAAAATGGAGTTTTTTATGAATAAAAATAGTATCTTAAAGATGTTTTTTGAAAAAATCCCCTCAAATGACAAATCGGTTTAAGCTTTAAAAATTTACATAAAAATATTTAAAAAAATTAAAAAGAAAAAATTGAACGGAATCGTAATAATGAGATTTTTGATGCTGTTTTTTAACTTTTTTCAAAGATTGGTATAAGAAAAACTTGAATAACTGAACCTAAACTCTTCCGATTTTGACTTGTGGGGTATCATTGGAAAAGTATTTTCTCACACTTTTTATTTCTTTGCTAATAAGCTCATTCAAAGGATGAAAGAGAAAGGTGGGATGGACGAACATAATTCAAAGTTGAATTAAGATGTGTTGGTATTTGAAAAAAAAAAAAATTGAGACACGAATGACTTTTTTTGCACATGAATAAAAATAGTGGGAAAATACCTTTCTACCGAGATCCCATAAGTCTAAATCAGAACAGTTTTGGCCCAGTTATTTAATTTTTCGTAAATCAATCTTTGAAAAAAGTAAAAAAAAACAGCATCAAAAATCTCATTATTACGGTTTCGTTGAAAATATTTTTAAATATTTTTATGCAGATTTTTTAAGCCTAATCAGTTTTGTCATCTGAAGGGACTTTTTCAAAAAGTTATTTAAGAAACTATTTTTATTAAAAAAAATACCATTTTTGGAGGTATTTTCAAATTTGTCCAGCTCGCTTAAATCTTAATATTTTTCCGAAATATTTTTGTGGACGTCTTAAAATATAATTGATTTTGCAATCCCGGCGGAAAAACCGCAAATTTTTTTGGTGATGCAGTCTAATGTACATATGTATCGTAAGTTTCACTTCTCCAGGGTGGCCCAGGCGCACTTACTTTTTTTTTTTTGCTTTTCAATATTTTTTGTATGAAAAAGTGAACATTTAAGCAATTTCTGTGCCTCTTGAACGAAAATTTTTAACAAACACTTCTGTAGTAAACATTTCTGCATATATCTATGAAAAAAATGCGTGCATTTCGATATAGTTTGGTCGGAATGAATTCTTATTTGCCAGCGTGCGGGCCCGACTCTCGTGGCTGGATCGCGCGCAATCCGCGTTGTTTTCTTGCGCAAGAAAGAAATGCACGTTTCAATAGTTTCAATTCTGACTGAAATCGGTGAAAAAGTAACAATTATTTATTGACTCTTTTGAAAAAAGGATAAGAGTTACGGTCCCTGATTTTATTTATCTCGTTTGCTTGGTAGACTTTGTTATGGTAATATGTTTGATAACAAACCCTCTAAGTTTAAATTAAGATTGTTTCCTAGAAACGCCGCTNTTTTCTTGCGCAAGAAAGAAATGCACGTTTCAATAGTTTCAATTCTGACTGAAATCGGTGAAAAAGTAACAATTATTTATTGACTCTTTTGAAAAAAGGATAAGAGTTACGGTCCCTGATTTTATTTATCTCGTTTGCTTGGTAGACTTTGTTATGGTAATATGTTTGATAACAAACCCTCTAAGTTTAAATTAAGATTGTTTCCTAGAAACGCCGCTGTGTGAACATGTGACTTTCTGTAAGGAACGCGGAATTGATAAACATCATATGCCAGTACTTTAGCTAAATGCCGCATGAGAATTTTAGTTAACCACTTTTTTTCTCTGTCAGTACGGTATGTTATTAACATGAACCTCCAAAAAAAATTTCAGTATCCTACCTCAAATACCTTCAGAGATATACTCTATGAAAATTGCACTTTTTTGTGTGCGAGAGACAAAACCCCTTTTCCAATACTTTTCCCCAGTTCTCTTAAGGAGTGTGGGATTAATTTCATATACATACATAGTATGTATTTATCCCCATATATACATAATAACAGTACTCTACCCCAAATCTTTCAAAATATGCATTATGAAAGTTTCACTTAGTCTGTTCCTTTGAACTTCGGACTAAAACCTGTGGAACTGTCAAACTACAATTTTACGCTCTCAAATGAGAGTAAAAGGAGAGCAGATGCAGAAGTACATAGGAACGCAAAAAGCACTATTTCCTGTAAAAACGTCAGACGGTTTGTTTACATGTCATTGGTACTACCCTGATTTGGCTGAAATATCACTGAATAATTATTAAAATCTATACATATTCAAATATTTCGTTGTTTACTTCCATTTTTTAGCAAATATAAGGTTATTTGCTTTCGCCGCTTTCTGTTTTTGTTTGCACATGCAAATCAGCTGATCGTTTGACACTTTTCATGAACTTACAGGAAAAGAAACTCCGGACTAAATCCTGTAACTTCTGACTAGGAACAGTTGCTCAATTACTCTCTCAAAAGTATTCCCACTTACAGGTTTTATGTCAATAGGAACGACTTCCTGTAAGTTCTGACTAAATCCTGTAAACCGGACTGCTATTGGAACAGACTAATTATGTATGGGAGGCGCCACGCTTCCTTTTCCACTCCACTCCAATTTTTCCATGAGTATAAAATTGATTTCATAAAACTACCAGGCCCGAAATTATCTAGACAAATCCCTTATTTCGTCTAGAGCCTCGTCAGATTTCCATAACTGAGATTTTCTCGACAGTGCGATAACAGGTTCTGGCATGGAAATCCTTTCTACAGATAAACCATTCCTGCGCTTAACAGGCTAACCTAATATTCACGCACGCCGCCAATTTATTGTCAAAAATTTCTCATGCACATGCAACTTGTATGAGATCAACCGAAATTTAACGGCGTGCGTATGAAGCTAACTCATAGTCTGTTCCAATAGCAGTCCGGTTTACAGGATTTAGTCAGAACTTACAGGAAGTCGTTCCTATTGACATAAAACCTGTAAGTGGGAACACATTTGAGAGAGTAACTGAGCAACTGTTCCTAGTCAGAAGTTACAGGATTTAGTCCGGAGTTTCTTTTCCTGTAAGTTCATGAAAAGTGTCAAACGATCAGCTGATTTGCATGTGCAAGCAAAAACTAACAGCGGTGAAAGCAAAGTACCTTATATTTGTAAAAAAATGGAAGTAAACAACGAAATGTTTGAATATGTATAGATTTTAATAATTATTTAGTGATATTTCAGCTAAATCAGTGTTGTACAAATGACATGTAAACAAACCGACTGACGTTTTTACAGGAAATAGTGCTTTTTGCGTTCCTATGCACTTCTGCATCTGTTCTCCTTTTACTCTCAATTGAGAGAGTAAAATTGCAGTTTGACAGTTCCACAGGTTTTAGTCCGAAGTTCAAAGGAACAGACTATCAATTTCCAATTTTTGTTCTGCGTGACATTTTGATTTGACGTTTCGCTCAATGAAATCAAATGCAAATGCATGCAAGCCAATTTCGGGTGACGCAAAAAAACAAATTCGACGGCATGCGTACCAAAACGCAAGCCGCGAATATTAGGTTAGCCTGTAATAGATTTTCTTAACAATATTGTCACCCAATATAATCTGAACAATCCTTAACACAGCCCGCAGTTCAAGACGAAGGCGCTTCACTGATCCTATTTTTAATTGTTTTTATCACTTTTTCTCAATTATTTGCTTATGTGGTAGGTGTGTCTGAAATTCGATCTATACCAAATTTCATATTTTGTTATTTTGAGATAATATAAAGCAACATACTAAATTTTTTTCCAATCGAAGCTCTTATAATTTTTCCGGCCCCCAGCGTAGCGGACGTGGCAGTTATCCAATTTGTACTATATTTCTTCTTTCCATAATAAATTAAGTGTTTGCCATGACCAAAGAACGTAAATCTATATCGTAGATTTACGTTCTTTGCAATGACATCGAAATCGGAGCACGTTTTCTGGCCGCAAGTTATATTGCATCGCGACACTGTAGGCGGTCGCCTGATAATTAGAAAAGTAAAGAAACAATGCTACCCATTTCTATAGTGTGAAAAAAGCAACCCTGACCAGAAAAAAAAGAAGATGAAAAACATTTCGGCCCGAAAAATATAGGAATAATTGCAAAGAAAGGAAAATTAACATATTTCAATGATACAAAACAATACACACCACAAATGGACGAGGTAAGCAGCATTATTTAAAATCAAGGTACACGAGGCTAGTTTTTCGTACGCAAATTTCAATCCCATAGGTCGATATAGATGGAGAAGATTTCAATGAGCTTGAAGCGAGGCTTTACGGCCAAATACACCATGAGGCCGTAAATTCGGCAACGGTAGAAGTTGTAAACAATGCGGTCGAGACCCCAGCGCCAGAAAATGAAAGCGTGGAACGTATTGTCACTGCAAAAAGCGTTGTGAATAGACCTGCGAAATCAAGTCGTGTTCCCGATACACGCTACTGGGTAAATAGCACTGCTAAACCAGCTCATATGCCCAAACCAAATGAAAGCAATACCACTATTTCTAAAGCAAGTATTGCTGCTAATCAAAATAAAAGTATAAATGAAGAAGGTAAGTTTAAATAAAGTAAATATATCCATAGAAAAATATTTATTAAGTCTTAAAATACCACAGAAAAGTTATCCACAAATACTACCCTAGAGACAAAAAAAATTAGTGACCAGAGTAAAAAAAATGAGACAGACAATGTCCGAAAAGTTCAAAGTCAGTCACCTAATAATGACATTATTAAACAAATAGAACCGCAGGAACAACAAAACCCTAAAAAAGATAAATCACCAAATGAAAACTTCCGCATAAACCCGGCTGCAGTAGCTAAAAACACAAAGTTAAATTTAAAAAATAAAAAACAAAAAAAAGCAATAGAACATGTCCCACGAAGTGGCCCTTTCATGCAGCAAGAAAACAAATTGCAAAAAGCGCTAGTAATCCAAGAAAAAAAGAAAAAATCTAAAAAAGTACGTAGCAAAAATCGTAAAAAACAAAAGCAAGTTGAAACTATTGTGTTGGAATCTTCGTCAGAAAGTTCGAGTGGAACGGATGAGTCTGACGATGATGTAGTTATAATACCGGCAAAGCCTCCACCTACAATCACCCTATCTGACAGTGATACCGATGCTATTGTTGGTGAATCAAACGCCCTACAACTTGAAGAAGAGAATGCCATAGATGCTTCTGATGTATTTATTGATAAAAAAACGAAATCAAGCGATTTCACCACACCAACTGAAGTCCGCAGCAATGTGGCGCAGGAAGCATCCGAAAAGCAGGCGGAGCAAATCTCAAGTAGATGCACATCACCATGTTCTGTACTATCATCCGACGATTTCATTGGCCAGACCGACCGAAGCCGTTTGCTTGAAGACAATTGCATGGCAGATGATCAAGATTTAGCTCTGCTTACTGCTGATGTTGACAGTCTAATGCAACCACCACAGGGACAACCTAGCAGTACGAAACAAACCAACAATCCAGCAAATAATTCCCCATCAGATGATGTTATGTGCACTGGTCAGTTCACCGTTTCCTTCTTGAATTCAGCAAATAAAAACACCGAAGCATTAGAAAAACAGAAGAAACAGCAGAATAATTATCGGGTAGAGCAGGCAGAATTTAGAGCGGTGGACGTTTATGAAAGTGAATCTGATATAACTGACAGTGTGTACTCCAAGGGCACTGTTCGGAACAGAACGATCATAAATGCAGTTGACACTAGTTCTGAAGCTGAGGATCTACAGCAAGCTCCATTGAATCAAAAGGTAAAACGTTTCTGCAAGCGGCGAACATCAAGTAGCCATCGCGGCTCTGACGCACTTAACGACGATGCAAGCACGGATGATGAACTGGAGGGAGGCGTATCCAAAACGCCAATACCATACATTTTGTGCGGAACAGCTGTTGAACGTTGCAATAAAAAATTGCGTAAGCGTACGCAATCGTTAAGCTCCCGGCGAGCTTCAGCTGGTGGCACTGCCAACGCCGCTGGAAATATGTCCGACACTGAATTCATAGCCACACTGAATAGCTTAGTGCAAGGGCGTGAGGAAGATATAAATAAAGGGACATATGACAAAAGTGAAGACGATGAAAACTCTGAGGATCAATTACGAATTGATAGTAATAAAGGTAAAAGCATCACTCAGGTTTTCGAGAAATCTGTACCAGTATCTGCTGGTACCCAGAAAGATGAGCCTGACCGATTAAGTGTACGATCAGTGCATATAGTAGAACCTCCTCCGCCATCAGCGAATTTTTCTGATGCAGTGCCTGACGATGCTTTAGCTGGATTAGATAAGATTTTCGATTCAATTGATAACATGGTTGAACCCAATTCTAATTTCAAAAAGAAACCAAGTGAGTCAGAAAATAGCTCAGAAAATGAAATCGAAGTAATTCAGCCACCTGTGCGAGCACTAACTACAGCTGAGCAAATAAAAAACAAAAACGCTCTACCTATCGGACACATCGTTTACCATGAGCATACTTTTCAACAGGGAGGTGTGGGTTGGAATGAGGAAATGGCCAAATTCTATAATTTGTCCTGGCATGGAGAACGTTTTTCAGTGGTTGGAGTGCAAAATGGAATGGATAGTGAGTAGAGTAAATGTTGATTGTTGAATTCATTATATATTCTAATCATATGCATTCCTTTCTGTTGCAGAGGATCGCAGCCTATGGAAGATTTACACAGAAGATCGTTTTCNATATATATTGTAATCATATGCATTCCTTTTGTTGCAGAGGATCGCAGCCTATGGAAGATTTACACAGAAGATCGTTTTCCCAAAACGCGCCCCTACAGCAATCAGAAATGCTACAACTGCTGTGAATTCGGACACACACGCGCTAAATGTAGACGACCAAAAAAGCCCCCTGTTTGTTATATGTGCGGCGAAAGTGGACATTTCGAGCCTCGTTGTCCAAACACAATTTGCCTAAGGGTAAGTTGCACGAAATAATCCAATGCTTACATATTTTGCATGGGCATTCTTTTTCTTGTTTTAGTGCGGTAATAAAACACAAATGTTTACAAAAAGCTGCAATGCTTGCACATTCCAAAATCGGCTTATTTGTCCCATATGCAAGGTCCGTGGACACTCCATTAACCTATGCCCAGATAAATGGCGACGTTACCACTCCACGGTAAGTAAAAAGTGTCAAATAAAAGTACATATGTGCATATAAGCAACTTCTATTTCCTCTCACTCACTAGACCCAACCAAATGCACATCCTCATATGGAGGTAGAGTTCAATAAACGTAAAATGTGCTGTGTCTGTGGTGCAAATGGACATTTTTCGGACACATGCCGCAGTGCTTCACGCTTTATGGAGTATCCAGTTATTATAAGCTACGTAAAATCACATCAGAAGTCGTATAACGATTTATTGTTCACATCGCCACGTCTTGGAATAGCTCTCAATCTTCTGTATAGACCTTTAGATACGGTTGTATTTCATATGGCCGAAAAAACGTCACCAAATGATTACTATGGACGCTTTTTGAAAGCAGTGGGCCTCGGCAATTTGCTTCCACGCAAACGGCCAAGCAATTGTTTGGCAGCCCCTGAAAACCCTTCAAAGCAAGCTAGAAGCCTCTCAGGACGCTACGTGCCAAATCCATATGGCAGATCAGCCAGAGGAAGTGTTCAAACCATAAGTGATGTAGATGATCGTAATGAATTAACAGAGAAAGCGGCACCAAATCAGGTAATAATCGACACTATTTTTGTGGCTTCTAACTATTATTACAAATTTTAATTACTACAGGTGCAGGAAGTGAGTGGTAGCGTGATCTCAGCCGAGGCTGTCACATCAGGAGCACTGGAAGATATTTCTTCTGATGAAGGGATGACACATACCAACGAAGTAAGCGAATCTATGGGAAATGATGCAAACGAAGTGGAAGTTAATAAAGAAGTCATAAGGGAAAACGAATTCAAAGCACCTGGAGAGGCATCGGCTATTATAACAACGCACCAATCAGCTCAGCACAAGGAAAACCTTACAGCAGATTCCGATTCGAATTACAGTTTTTCAGATCATTTTGAAGTACCACCAGCTGCTGTTAGGGGCGAAAATGAAACAATTACGGGCGATGCTGAATTGGATGTACAGCCATCCACATCTGCGGCTACCAGGAGCATGTTATCAGCAAAGCGAGTACGAGAAATGGATCCTTTGCCAGATTTCATACCAATTACCTGTGGCAGTGATGTCAACACAACCGAAATAGATGATAACTTTGACACACAGACAGGTATTTCTCGACGATTTGTTGCTGCAAATACCGATGATGAACAGGAAGACGATGCAGCACAAGCGAATGATACGCCATGTGAAGCAAAAATATATCTTACCAATTTCCACAGCAACTACTTGTTGTCACCAGATGGTCACGAATTTTTGAAACAGAAATCCGAAGTGTGTAATATTAAAGCAAGGCTCGACTGGACATCTGTTGGTCATGTGTTGGTCATATTCGGACTTCCCAGTGACCAGGATATATTTCACAAAGCATTGTTAGATAAATGTAAAGATTTGATGGATCGAATGAGTAACAAACAATTGAGCGCCATGAAAGTGCCCAAGCGCATTGATGCGTTGATTCGCTTTTTGCGCGAAAACATTTCTCAACTGCAGAGTGATTTAGGTGACGTGAATGATTTACAAAGGCGCATCAACAATTTGGAGAAGTCACACACTAAGGCGAATATGAAATTGGCGGAGAAATTCCGGCGTCTGCTTAATATGATATTACTGGGTCAGGCCGGCCTGTGTGATGGCGACAAGCATTTGGATAAGCTTTTTATGAATTTAAAATCTCTTATTAATGATTATCAAGCTGAAAATATGGTACCGCAATCACTACGCGAAGAGATTGATTCACACTCCAGACTGATCTTTACCTCGTATCGGCATGAAAATTATCCTGATCTAATTCAAAGTTATAACAGAATGTCGAAAAGTCAAAAGAACAGCGTAAATATTGATCCATTGCTGTTGGGACAAAAAATGTTAGATATAAGCCTAACCCCCGAGCAGCGCTCACGACTTGAACAACCTTTAGCGACAAGCGCTTCAGTGTCACCGATCAATCAAGCATCCTCGGCTAAGAAGGCTACTGACAGTAATGAAACTAGTTCACTTAATGGTAACAAATCGAAAGTGGTCAACAAGCCAAACGAGTTGATGCAACCAACACAGTCGCAAGTAAAAATATGCAACGAGCCGACATCCTCAAAAGGCAAAAATAAGACACCCACCACTACACCGGCTCACAGTCCAGCAGAAACCGCTAGCTCCAAGCATAAATCTAATCCATTTACGCCGATCAAGCGACCAACTGTTGCTCCGCCACCATTTATCAACCCACAACAAAAGTCAACAGCCTATACAAAAATGAAAGATGCTGTTGAGAATAGGCATGATGCAGTAAAAAATATACTCAGTAATGATTCAACCAGTTCAGCCATAGGTGCACAAACGCTCGGCAATAAACGAGCGCCCTCAAAGGGTCCATCGATGTTTTGGTCGCGCGAATCAATGCGCTATTTAGATGAATGCATACAGATGGCCGAATCGAATACAGAGTTATTGTCTAAACTGCAACGCATACAGTTGAAATCGACAGAAGGGGCGCTATCATATAATGATTATCGTGCGGTTATTAAACTGCATGGCGCCATGGTGGGACACTAAGATTTAAAAAATGGACAAAGTTTGACGTATATTGAATTGACGACGAAACGATGACATGACGACGACGATGTGATGAATTGTTTCGCAGAAGTGTCGAAGCGAACAGAGGTGTGCATTATTCTTCTGGAAGAAGTTCATCACTAACATTTTATTTTTTAGTTGTACAAAAATGGTTTTGTACGGGAGCTATAAAGGTTTATGATTTAGTAACATTTTTCTTTTAAAACAAGGATGAGTTTCCAGAAATTAAAATAATAAAAAATGAAAAAGAAAACAAATAAAACTACATACTTACATATATGTATTAAAACATTTTTCTGGTTTTCAATTTACTATTTACATATTTATCCACGAGATATAAGATATAATAGTTATCTTGAATATGGTTCTAAACTACGAAATTTCATGCAGATAATTGCTAGCTTATCACCGAGAAATGCCTTTGTATGTATCATTTTAGACAATCAGGCAGGTTCTGCAATTCACTTCCGAGTGAATTTCAATAAACTTCGCGGGAAATGTTTAGTTATTGGCCCATCGTTTTTGTGGTGGGGGGCGGAGAGGGGGAGGGGGCGTGGCCCTCCAAACCCCCCTCATTCGAAAGGGGTCAGTCGCCACTTTACGAAAAACCCCACCCCCCCTTGGGGACCTCCCACAGACCCCTAGGGAACCGTTTGAAAATGGGGTAAAAACGGCATTTTCCGAGGCAAACTGAGCAGTTTGAAGTGGAATATAACCCAACTAACAGAATCTGTGGGGTTTTTAAATAAAAGAAGTTATCCCAAGGTGGTTATCAGGCTAAAAAAGGAGGGCTAAACACCTTTCGCAGAGAACACCTTTGTGCGTAGGCGGCCTTCGGCCGCACTTAGGGATTATAACCCTCAGGCAGTAGAATTCTCCTTTCTGTGTTGCGAAGAAAAGGAGCTGAATACCTTTTACAGAGAACACCTTTGTATATTTTTAATGCTTACAGGGTTATATCCTATTTTCTTTTGTTTCTCATTCTTTTGCATATTTTGGAGTTTGACAGCTGAACTACGCCATTTAATTTGCATATGCAACAAAAGTCAGACGCATGATTTAGAAGGTGTTTTTATTTAATAAATTGTGATTAATTGGTTAATATTAAAGTTATAAAGAAAGTTATAGCTCATCGAGTAAAGTGTAAAGTGAAGGAGAATATAAAAATATATTGCTGATGTAGCAGCATTAAGGAGAATAGGAGTGATAAATTTACGCTAATTTCCGAATTTTACAAAAAAGGGCATATTTCAAACCCAATTTGTAAATAAATTAGTGACCCAAAATTACAATAGTGGATTTTAAAATAATGGGTAGACCCTTGGCTACAAGTGTGTGCAATTTTTTTTTTGATCGGGTCACCGCTTTGGACGCAATACCCCGAAATAGGTGGGCCACTTACTAAACAGTACCCAACTTCGCTATGAATTCAAATTGGTAGGGGTTGAAATTCGCTCGGAAGTGAATTGCAGAACCTGCCTGAATATCTTTTAGAGACCTAATCGGCTTAGAAATTATACTAGGGTTTTGTTGAAAGAAATGTTTGTGCTCTGCCTCTGGGCTTAATAAGCTCGCTATTTCACCCCTCTTCTTGATAAGAAACACGCATGCGAAGTGCTCAACAGTCTTAACTAGACATGGAACAAAAATACAGTGAATCGTATGCCGAAGTTACGCCGATATATGTATACAGCGATAGATTGAGTCACACTGCATCCTTCGGTGGAAAAGGCCAAAAGAACGTGATGCCCTCCAATGTCGCCAGAACATCTCCTACTTAGCGAGGCCCATATGCTCCCAATAAGGAAGACCACCACCATTCTCAGCGAGCGGCTTATGAAATAGGTGGCTACAGACGAGAGCATCTGAACAGGCCATTGCTTGAGGCGGAACGTCTGCCCAGTCACGTCAGAAGGCATCTCGACGAACTAAAGGACAAGGTCAAGGACCACGAATGACAACTACCGCAGCTGGCACCACCTTCACTAAGCGAAAAATAGCTTCAATTGCCAAGAGAGACTCGCGTTACTCTGGCTCATTGCGGTTAAACTCCTACCTATCCAGACTATTAGACACCGCCGTCCGCAACGCATGTGAAGGTTCCCCATNGTACCTATCCAGACTAGGGCTGTGCGATTATTCGATTACTCGAGCAAGTTGGTTAATCAATTATTCGGTTAATCAATTACTCGAGTAATCAAGATTTTGATTACTCAAAACGATGATTAATCGAGTTACTTGAAATATGATTACTCAAAAAAAATAATTTTGCTCGTTAAAAGAGTTTGCTTTGGAAAATGCTTATTTTCTTTTTTACATTCTGTATATGAAAAAAATTTTTTGTTTTAATTTTTGAAAACAGAAACGTTGTTTTCAAAGTATCAAGGAACTTTAACTACTTTATACATATGTAAAGAGTTGAAATGTTGATTACTCATTTTACTCGAAATGTTGATTAATCATAAAGCAAATTACTCAAATATTTTTGTTTTTGGTTAATCAAAAATCTTGATTACTCGGGTAACTGAACTTTTGAGTAATCATAATTTCCAATTAATCGAATAATTGAGTTATTTACTTTATGATTAATTAAAATTTTGAGTAATCAATTAATCGCACAGCCCCAATCCAGACTATTAGACACCGCCGTCCGCAACGCATGTGAAGGTTCCCCATATGACACCAACCACCTCTTCACATGTCCGCTCAACCTAACCAACCTTACACCCCTCTACCTCTGGTCCGACCATGCCGAAACAGCACATTTGCTGGGCCTACAGTTAGTTGAGATTGATGACAACGATTGACTACCCGATGGTATGCAGGGCTAAGTGGCCGCTACACCAACAACCAGCGGTCTATAGACAGACAATAAGCGAACATCCTAGGGAGACAGACCCCAGCTTTACCAACTCTTACTTCGTGGTCGGTTCACCCACCACAACATAGAGCTTCAGCTATCTCAAGAGAGGCGATACGTTAGTGTTAGTGTACTATAGTGTATATAGATCTATTCGCTCTTGGAATCTGCTCAGTACTTGTGTTGTATGGCTTGCATTTTATACTTGCCCTTTTTTTAGAGATTTTCTTTGGTTTTGTGTTATTCCTGAAGCAAAAGTCTATGCGAAATTGCTGCTGTTATAATATCCGCTACAAAACCTAGGGGGATGGATGATATTAAAGCATTAATTTTATTTCAACCGAAATTTACATATTCTGACATCACTTCAGAAATAAAGTCAATCCTTACCGCAATCCAATTTAATAGTTACTATTACCGCTAGTGAACTTACTTTCGGTAGAAGGATAATCTGCTTTTCGTTGAGTTTATATGTATTGAGTCCATTCACGGCGTCCTCCGCGTTACCTTCAATATTGGATCCATTCTCCGCGTTTGTTTATGAGTATCTCATCTACAATATCTTCGATGCGGACCTCAATTTCTGGTGCTAAGCTATATTATGCTACGTTGTGCTGGGACTTTATAGAAGCGATTCTATGGAATAGGCATAGTGAGCGAATTAAAATACAGCGCCTACGGTGGTTTGGTCATGGTTCGGTCGACGAATGACCAAAGAACCAGAAACATGAACACAAATAATATAGCCCTGGATCCTTGCACAGGTAAAAATGCCTCTGTATCGGTACCGAAGTAGCCTAAACGGCTTGCAAAACTGCATGTTACGTCCGGCGTCAGCTGGTGGACAGCGAGTAACTTGGGTCTGGCTTGTAAGCGGAGCCTGCACGGCCAATAGACCTACCGTGCCAGTCGTGCACTGTGAGGAACAACACCACCGCCCACAAGTCCTTTACGGGTACGAAGCCTTTTGAACGCAAACTCGTCCCTGATCCCAGTGGTTAAGTGGAAACCTGACGGCTGAGAACTGGAGGTCTGTCCTAGTGGATCTCTGCCAGATGTACAAGGAGATTCCCCAGAAAAATGCTAGCCCTGCGCCAACTATCCGCGACGCCGGCCTCTACTAAGACTGCGTAAAACTGGCTTCTTTCGCCTATGAAAGGTCGTCGCGACTCTATAAGGAAGACATATCCCCTCTTGGGGAGATGTAGCACAGCGCTGAATTAGTAGCAGTGCTCAGGGATGCAATCCCTTGCAAGCATAAAATGCCTTGAGCGGTACTGCTCCTAACTCGGAGGTTCCCGGGGCCATTTGTCCGGTGGAGAATTCAGACTCGGTAGCATAAGTAGAGGGCGATATGCAATCTGTTTCTGGTGACGGTCTGTACTTAACCGGGGGACGAAGGAATTCGAGAACGTTCTTCTGACGTGGAATTCAGAGGGCGCCCATGATTCCTTTGTCGAGGCGTTCGATGGAACCCGCTAGAAGTAATGAACGGAGAAAGAGTTTTGTAAGCTGTGGATGAATGTCCTACATACCATACCATTATCATTCTAAAGCAGCTTTTGCAGCTCTGCTAAATAAATGTATTTCTTATAATATACTCCCACAGTTCAGCAATGAGGACACGGTGAGCATCTCTGTGGAAAGCCAATCCATGACACTCTGGCTGGTCTCATCCTACAAGACCTACGATCGCCAAGACTACCCTTCTCCGCTCAGTTACTGGAGAGGCCAACTCAAGGAAGTCTCCCATTGTGATTGGAGCCGATGCAAATGCGCATCATGCGGTATGGGGATAAATTGACATCAACCCCAGAAGTGGGGCGTTACTGGATTTTATATTATTATATAATCTTAGTCTCTGTATTATTGGCAGTATACCCAATTTTGTTACCTCAAACAGGAAGGAAGTATTGGATATTACTTTGACGTTTAGCTTTTTCTTTCAGATTACTAGTAAATAGCATATAATATATAAACATTCATTCTCTGATCATATCTATATCTCATTCGAAATCTCCAGCCTGGTTGATTACAGAAACAAGAGACGTACGGACTGAACTAAAGGGGGTACTTTTGGGGTATCTGCTCAATAACGTTTATCTCGGTATGCTAGGCTTACGGTCACCACCTGATGAAGCGGAGCCTTCAACCGGAAACCTTAATTCCCTCGGTGAGTTTAGCTCATCAGACAAATCGAAGAAGCCGTTGATTGCATTACCGATGCCCGCAATGCCACCTTCTCCGCTTCCTGCCCGATTGCAATTCCGAAGCGAAAGAGGAAGCCACATAGATGGATCAAGGAAATGGCCTCTCTCAGGAAAGAAAGTGGGAAGCTTTTCAATAATTTTCTCCAAGCTCTGGCAGAGTTTGTTCGCCGCGTTTTATGCAGCAGAG